GTTTCGTTTCGTTTCGTTTCGTTTCGTTTCGTTTCGTTTCGCCCCCAAAAAACGGGCGCGTTCGTAAATCCCGACTACGTAAGTCGCGTAGACTCGGTTTCTCATCGAGCAGCGCGCTCGAGTAACGTGCTCGAAAGATAATTAAAATATCTTGGCTTGCGGCAGGCACGAGTTATGGCACGAACTTATGGGCGAACTATCCGGCGACCATGTTCTTCATTCGCGTTCGCGAAACTTAACCAGCTGCGAACTCGTGAACCTGTCGTGTAGTTTTTGTGCCTCGCGGTTCCGTCGATCGTGCTCGTCCGAGGGGATGATTTGTTTGCAGATGAATTGTTGTATCCCTTTTACGAAATATGAATATGTCTCTATCGCGGGCCTGCTTGACGCGGTTACGGTTATCCGTAGTCGATCATTTTTCGAATATCGGGAGGTTGATTGATTTTCAAATTTTCAAATATAATCAAGTTAGAGTTAGTTTTCAAATATCGGGACCATTTTTTTTTTTGAAAACAATAGTTAAAACAGAATCGTCCAATTGATTATTTTGCGTGAACACTTATTTGTAAATTTATCGTAAGTTAGATTGATTTTAAATTGATAGAATAGTGGCAGTGATTTAAAGTTTAAAGAATGTATTCGCTCGACATTATATTACAATACGTTATCTTTCTAGGACTTATTAATACACTAATTACTTTAAGACTAAAGACTAAACAAACATTAACATGATTTATTTTATTTTGACTCGATGTTACCTTGAAATAAATTTGCGTTAATTTATTCGTACAAGCGAATGATTTTCCTTTGAATCATTCCATTGTTTGGCTATCAAATAAAATAATATTTTATTTCACTTTGTGTTTGCGCAAATAATTTCTCAAATAGTCTTTCGTTTTATTGTATATAGATTCCCTTGTGCTGGGATTATTTGTTGTTTCATTTCAATTAATTGATTCAAATAAAAGATCGTTTGGAGAGTTTGCATTTCTTTTTCAAACAAAAATACGCATTATTTTAATTGTTGTTCTTTGCCTCTCTCTTAAATTGAATTTATTCAATTTATTCAATACGATACTATACTTTACAATTAAGTTATTTTACATCGTCTTTTTTCGTCGACTTTCTAATTTTAATATCATTAACAACATTTCTTTCGTTTGACGAATGTATTTTAACTCCTAGTGTTTCCTTTGTCACATTTCTGTACACACAATTGAAGAAATTAGAAAGCTTCGTGGAAATTTGTCTCTCGTACTTCCAAACATTATAACATCTTTCGATATTACTTTTTTTTCCCACATCTATTCCTTGTATTTCTGCATTCTTAAATTTCAGCGAAGACCTTGAAAACGAATTTCAAAAAGCGTTATGCTCGAAAAAAGAAAAAGGGAAAAACCATTATTTTCTTTGATCAAAATCCAAAATCTAAACAAGTCGTGATTGTTCCGTCAACCAAAACTGAACATCAGTCGCGCGACGAGAAAACAACTGAAAATATCGAAGGAAGAATATCGGTGAAGATCGACGAAGCGGAGAACTTGCGCGAGAAGGAATTCCGCCTCTGTCAGTGGGAATTCATCGAGATGGCGATG